CGTCTGACGCCTTTAAGAGAGACCAACATCCGTGAACAGCAAGCCGGATTCCGGCCTGGCCGTAGATGTATTGATCAGATTTTTATGTTGCGTCAGATCCTTGAGCTGCGTCATACTCACCGTCGGCCAACCATCGCAGTGTTCCTTGACCTGAAAGGAGCCTTCGACTCAGTGGACCGTGAAGCTCTGATGGGCTGCCTTCTTCGAAAAGGAATGCCCCAGAAGTACGGTAACCTACTGAGGTCACTGTACTCACATACCTCCGGTAGTGTAATGGTCTACAACGAACCGAGTAGGTTGCTGGTCACCAGCAGCGGCGTTCGTCAAGGGTGCCCTCTTTCGCGGTCCTGTTCAATTTCGTCGTAGACGAAATACTGGACAGCGCACTAAGGGACTCCAAAACGTAGGTATTGAATGGACAACTGGAAGAAAAGCTATGCGATTTGGAGTACGCCGATGATATCGTCTGTCTGTTCGAATGTATGGAAGACTCGCAAAGTGCGTTTGATAGACTGACAAGTGCAGTGGCCACATTCGGTATGTGCTTTGCACCTTCAAATTGCAAAGTGATGCTGCAGGACTGGGTGTCGTCTACTCCCACTCTGAAACTAACTGGCCAGGATTTAGTTGTGGTGGATTACCTTTCGTACTTAGGTAGTTGCGTGACCAATGACGGTAGTGCATCAAAGGAAATAACCGTCCGCTTTTCCAAGGCTCGAACAGCATATACAGGACTGAAACAACTTTGGCGTAGACGCGATGTTTTACTGAAGCTGAAAGGTCGTGTATATTGTGCCACCGTTCGTTCAGTTCTGCTTTATGGTTGTGAGACCTTGAATTTGCGAGTAGAAGATATCCGTCGATTAGAGGTTTTCGATTATCAGTTTTTATGCAGTTTAGCCTACGTGGGATGGAGCGAACGGGTTAGTAATCCGGAGGTAAGTCGTCGTGTGTTTGGTAGTCTATCAGGTATAAACCTGTTGGTCCACCGAATTCCGATTAGTGCACTTCGCTGGCTAGGGCATGTATTGGGTATGCCTAGTCGTCGTCTGCCGAACCGCGCTTTTTTTCGCTGTAGCCGCTTCTGGTTGGAGGAAACCACGTGGAGGTCAACAGATGACGTGGAGACGAGGCATGAAGAAATGCACAGAGCCATTAGGTAGAGTAGGTGTCTCTCGCCTTCCAGGTTAGGGTCCGAAAGACTCCACAACTGGTTGGTTGGAGACACTGAAGGATATGGCAGCGAACCGGCAGCAGTGGCGTTCTTGTTATCGTTTCTTATCAAGTCAGAATGCTTGGAACAGTACGTCTACACAGTTCGAATGTGTACACTGTGTTCCCCCATCTCAAAATAGGTCCAATCCCTGTCCACCTTAAATTTCATCATTGGCAGAGGTCAGTGAAGTTCGCTTCAGTGTATTTCGCTGTACCATGATGATGGTGACTTGATAAATACGGGAAAAGATGAGCAAACGTGGATTCCCGTGAAACCTTAAAGACAACATCGATAGGACCAAACAGAAACTCGAACAACTGTGGTACGTTGTCGAGGGAACTCTTCGATCTACTCCTCGGACTCCGCAACTGAGAAGCATCTACAATATTTATTGCGCGGTGGTGGTTCGAAACTCTTGAACCCAAGAAAAAGTTAGTTTGTCACAATAAAGAACATACGCCTCCAAAAGCCTCATTACGGTAGGGGGGCGTCTAGGGTCACGGCTGGTCACCCTTCTCTTGCACCTCATAAAATGTTCCTATACGAAAAAGCGTCTCGAATAGCTTCTGCTGAGGAAGCCCAACTCACTACCTTCTCGTGGCGGAGGTATCTCCCCACCAAAGTGAGAGGATAAAACGCCGACATCTGGGGCCATAACCGGGTTGGTAAACCACTGGTAGTCCATCTACGGGAGTCGGCCAAAAACCCTGATTCCAAACCAACCAAGAGGAGGCGTACGAACCACACACACACTTTCTGGCTTGTGGCAATGGTCACCGGCCCGATTGGGCATTGAGGTGTACTGGGCACCTTGGACCTTTGACCCCGTCCAAAAGGCGTATGATCCGATGAACTGGACACCGGCCTCCAATATACTGCGGTTTCCGCACATCACCCCGATGTCTTGCGGGTCAGGTTTTCGCTCCGGTTGTGGATTCCACAAGAAAATTCACCTGCTTGACCTGGGCAACCTGACAGTATCAGGCCCACATGAAAATCATGGAATGTCTTTCTTTTTCATGAAGATTATTATACTATGCTTTGTTTGGCACGGTCTGGCGTCAGACGTGTGTGAAAATTATATATATATATATATATATATAT